AAATACAAAAGTTTGCACTTAACTACACATTTGCTTAACATTAAATTCATTAGTTTTATAAGTAGCCTTCAAAGCCTTTTCATGAAAAATTTCAATTGGTGTTAAATTTGAGGAAAGACATAAATTTCTAAGATGTCTAATCCAAACATTAACAAACTTGTAAACAATTTAGAAAACTTAGTTTTTCAGTTGAAAATTAAACATTCTAAAAACTATAAAGCCCATAATAAACAAAACTCTATATTCAAACAATAGGCCAAAAATGACCTCTAACACATATTACTTAGGCATAATGGGAAATGGAATTGAATAAAGAATAGCCCAATCAGATAGTAAAAGCCATTAATTGGACATGGTAAAATAAACACTGAACAATAGTGTAAGTTCCATTTTTAAACTTTCAATCTTTTCCTATAATTATGAAGTATTTCACTTATAAATAGAATAAAACTGAGTTTTTGGCTATAATTTTGGATTTCCTTTTACAGGTAAGTTTAATTCATTTACATTATGATCCCTGATATATGTAGCTTTATTTCCACCATTTCATTTACTGTTTTCATTTACTATGGCTTTTCTTTTGCCAATTTCCTACCCTTAAAATTTTTATTTTGAATTTAATTTTTATGTTTGTACTGTCTTCACATTTTAACTACAGCAGTGAAATCAGTGACATCTAACGTAAATAGTGTTACTATTCTTTTCTGAGCACATATGGAAAACGGAAATTTTTAATTTAGTTTGCACCTTCCCATATTCCATGTTAATGTTGTCTACCATTTAGCTCCATCTTATTTTCAATGCTCCTCAGTTGGTCTCATCTTATTTTAAAGAACCAATTGTTCTTTAAATTGAAGAAAAAAATAATTTTTCATTTTCAGTAGTTTACTCAGTAAGGTTTATGAGTAGTAAACCCTCTTTATCTTGATTATCTGAAAATCTTTTAAATTTTGCTTTTATGCTGTAAATGTTGGATTTTGTCATTCTATCCTCCATGAGTTTTAGCCTCCCTTTTACATATTCACTTCCTCACATATTCAGAAAACTTCCCTGTATCGTGGGAAGTTTCTTACAATCTATATTCCAGTTTACTAATTTTCTCTTCAGCTTTTCTTTTTTTTTTGAGACAGAGTATCACTCGTCACCCAGGCTTGAGTGCAATGGCATAATCTCCACTCACTACAACCTCTGCATCCTGGGTTCAAGTGATTCTCCAGCCTCAGCCTCCCGAGTAGCTGGAATTACAGGTGCCTGCCACCACGCCTGGCTAATTTTTATATTTTTAGTAGAGACGGGGTTTCAACCATGTTGGCCAGGCTGGTCTAGAACTCCTGACCTCAGGTGATCTGCCCACCTCGGCCTCCCAAAGTGCTGGGATTACAGGCGTGAGCTGCTGTGCCCAGCCTCTCTTCAGCTTTATCCAATCTGATTTTTCATCTTCCAACGAGTTTTAAATTTCAATCATTAGGCCTTCTTCTCTAGACATTCCATTTGTTTGTTTCTCCAAGTTTGTCTTTTAAACAATATTCTGTTATTTCATTTGTGCTTATATTCCTTGTAACAATATAAGGAATAAATGTTTGTTTTTACATTTACTTTTAGTTTCCTTCAGATTGCTCTATGAGTTCATGTTAGTAGAATGCTAACTCATTTATTATTGCTGACTTTTCCTTACAAGTTTACTACTTTCATGAGTGATGGGAAACTTTGTATTGTAAGCTTATGGACAAGCCTGCCCTATTTTTGTCATAGACTAATGAACTCACATTATGGAAGGAAACCTAGAGAATAGTGTTTGCTCTGCTGGTGTCCTAGAAGCTTATACATCTTTTGTGTTTTGCTTCCATCACAGTATCTCAGATTCCATACCAGAGCTGGGTGAGGTTATAGTTTTACTACAGGTTTTATTTAAATGAAGTCTTCATTTCCCTTTTCCTACCATGACTTTTCCTATGTCTTCTCTGGGCTGGTGGGCAAAAATATTCTAGTTGTTGCTTGTGATGTAGGTCAGCCACTTGTGAGTTTCAGCTTTCTTTAGGGTTCCTACTCCCAAGTCTAGGTCTCACAAAGCCAGGACTTCTGCCCCTGTGCCAAAACTGAAACCCTGACTTCCAGTCCCTAGAACCTATGTCCATGTCCAATCCCCATCCTGGTTATTTTGGTTTTCACTCACACAGTTACCTCTCTAGCTTGGAGTTACAGCTTCGTTTGTGGCATTTGAGGATTTCTCTATCTTCTTTATTTTGGACCTCTTTTAATCCCTCTTTCTGCATGCACATGTATGTCTCTATAAAGTCTGCAACATTTTATCTAACATTTCAACATATTTTCAATCAAAGCTGTTTGTATTACGTGCTTAATGGAGAAATGTATCTGAATTTGTTTTGAACAAATAAATAAACATCAACAGTAATATTATCTATATATTTCTCATTGTATTCCTCTGAGTACCAACTTAGTTTTTGAAAAAATATTGTACTACACTATCTAGGTAACTCTGAATCCTACTCAAATCCATTATGAACTCTGAATTTCTCCTATCTGGTAGTATACCTACATTTATGTCAGAATTATTTGTATACAATTTTGAATAGATTCAGAGGTTGTAGTTCTTAGCTGGTTTACTGAAAATAGACTAGCTTTATTTTGAGATAACATTGCAATATAATCAGAGGACTATTTATTAATGCATTCCAGACACTAATTCTCCCAAAGGAAATAAGTATTAAATAATCCTAATTGCTGATGGCAATTTTCTGTCTAAGTTTTCTATTCCCATTCTTTTTCTTAACATTGACCTTGTCCCTCTTGCAAACTTTGCAGTTTCGCTATTAGAAGCCTTTGTTTTCCAAAATAATGGCCAAACAGTATAATTTCTTTGCAAGACTTTGACAGTAATACTGTCCCAGAAATACCAAGCTAACTGGTAAACAGAAACTGTAGCTTTCACTCTACAATACTATAATTACACAGTGCAGAATATCTCTGGTTTTTATCACTGAGGAAATCAATAGTGGTCTAGACTACAATTCTCTGTTGGACTAGAGTAGATACAGGAAAACAGATGAAAGAGTTTATTGACTTAGTAGGGATTGTTACTATAGCAAATCAAAGCTGCAGAAATAAATAGCTTTTAAATGAAATGGTTTTAACCCAAACAGCAAAATGTTTCCATTAAACAAGTGACGTGATGAAACAAATAAATAAAAACAAACACAAAACTAACAAAACCCTCCTGTAGCCTCATTCCTCTTCCCTGTCTGTACACACACACAACACACACTTCAGGCCATCATTACTGGCAAATATCTAATCAAAAGGAAAACATTCTATGAATGCTATAAGAAATGATCTAGAAGTTAAGGGGTTGCTATGTCATGAAAGTCTTAGTTTGAATATGTCATGTTTGTATTTGTCATAATTTAAAATGTGTCATTTTTCTATTACTAATAAAAGGTTCTGTCTTGTGGCATTGCATTCTTCATTAGACAGGTTGTTCTGAGGATTTCTAACTATGTGCAATAGAAGCAGTAGGTATTAAATCTCCCAAGATTGAAATAGTATATTGAGAGAGAATGTGAAAGACAAAGAGGAAAAACTCCAAATATTGCTACTTTGCAATCACACGAATCAGTTTGTTCTACAGAAAAGGAAAAATACCAAGTGAAAAAATGTTAAAAAGACTAACTTGTATGTGGTATGTTGTTATTTTCATCCTCAACTCAAACTCTGTACCTCTGGATAAATGATTGGCAAAACCGATTTTCATTCATGCATTTCTGGTGCAAACTTGCGAGATTCACAGTGGCAAGCCCCACATCACTACCAGGAGCTGTACTTTGTACACTCGGCAGTAGCCCGTTCTTGAGGAATGCAATGTGCCCTGAACATAAAAATAAGAGGCCTATTGGATTTTAATTCTGTGTGAGCAACATAATTATTTATTTGTATTTTAAGTAAGATTTCTTTTTAAAGGTTCCTGTGTGTATAGACTCTGAAAAGTCAACAGAATTTTCTAAGTGTGGTAAAAACAAAATATTTTATTCTTAAATAACAAATATAAATACCTTTGCACAAATACCTTCAGCTGCTCGTATTCTGCTAGCAATGTGTAATGTGTTATGAGAAATGTCAACACTAGACCACCATTAGTTCAGCTCCAAAGATAGCACATTGTTTGATCCGTTAATCTGAATAGGTATGATTTCAGAATAATTCTTAATACCTCAATTTATGGTCATAAAAAGAGATGGTAAATTGTGTACATCCAAGGGCTCCTCAATAAAGGGGCAAGAGTTTGCAAGTATGGAAATCAAATTACCACCTAATTAACAAAATCTAAGGAACAAAGACATGAAAAATGGAGAATATCTAGCTTGTAGCACCCGTTACATTCCTGAGCCAATCTTCTACACTTATTTTAAAAATTTATGCTTTATTAATATCTATTTCCTTTAAATAAACTAAATCATACCCACATTATAATTTCTAATACAAACCCAGAATTTTCAAGAGTTTGTGAAGATGTTCTCATTAAACATTTGTTCTAAGTTAGTAAATCTACCTCCAGAAATGTTTGTTATTTTTACATATATTTTACATTCCATGGACATTTTGGTTAGGTACCTGCCATGAATCAAGAATAAACAGCTTACATTTTAGAAGTCTTGTATTGACCCTATGAGGAATTCAGAGTGCCCTTTTGTGCTTTCTGATAAAACTAACTAATGATTCCCCTCCATATAAGTAATTGAATCACCCCTTGCTCATGAAAAAGCAATACTGGATGCTATCTGTTAAGTGGACATAGTTACTATTCATTCAGGTTCCTGGAAAATTAGCTGTTTCCAATTTTGAGAGCAAGCTAGAATACTGCTATATTATTGCTTTTTTGTTGTTGTTGTTCAAATAATTCTTTATTTCTAATGCTCCCTTAAAAAAATCCAAATGGTTCCATCTCCACCCCCCTCAGTGTCTGCAATTTGCTTAAATTGACTTACTCTGCATGCAAAGTCCATCAGTGCAGTTCTTGGATTGCAAGACCAGGCCGTCACAGTCCTTGCCTCCATTCTTGGGGGCTGGTGCAGTACACTCCCTCCTGCGCCAGTGGGTACACTCAGTTCCACAAGTAGACCACTTGCTCCATGATGTCCACCTGCCATCCACTGCCATGAAAAAATGCACCAGCAGGTCAGAGGGAGAGGCAGCTGCTTAAGGGATGGAGCAGAGCTCAAGTATAATACAAGAAACAAAACAAGAAAAAGCATGCCCTGCTGAAAAGCACTGTATTCATTTCAATTGCTGGAAATTGCACTTCTGCATCATTTGGGTTTTGTAAGCTTTTCCTAGAATGTATGAGTGTTTCCTCCCTGACCAAGCCAAGGGAGGCTGAATGAGACATACAAAAGCCAAAGCTGTCACCAGGAGCTATGTAAAAGCAGGTCAAGGTAGTTTCCCTTTTCCTATTAATGGGGGAGCTTCTGGGTTTTGTATTGAAAATTAGTGGGGCTCGGGCTGGGCGCGGTGGCTCACGCCTGTAATCCTAGCACTTTGGGAGGCCATGGTACCCACCTGACTGCCTGAGCTCAGGATTCGAGACCAGTCTGGGCAACATGGTGAAACCCTGTCTCTACTAAAATACAAAAAATTAGTAGGGCATGGTGGCTTGCACCTGTAGTCCCAGCTACTTGGGAGGCTGAGGCAGAAGAATCACTTGAACCTGGGAGGCGATGGTTGAAAAGAAAATTAGGGGGCTCTCTTTGGATCCAAGACTCCTTTATTCCTAGTGCCATGTGGACAGTGAAAGCAAGCTTGTGTGGGAATTCAGAGAAGAGGTTGGTACATTGGAGAAGAAATCTCTCCAACCTTCCATTCATTCATCCAGCTGGTATAGTTACCTCTTCTCTCTCATCTATGTTTTATATAGTCTTCTTATTTTACTATTTTTATCTAGGCTACTTGATTCTGCTGAAGCCTTCTGTAATGTTTTCATGAAAAGACTATTTTTCGTTTATTATTTGATTATTCCATTATTTGATGATGTTTGTGTCTCTATTTTTATTAAAAAATATTTAGGTAAGTTCCTAATATTTGTTATGATTCCATCACTTAGAACCGATTTACTTTCTTTCTAATTTTGGTGGCTGCCTTGTCAGCAATTTTAAGGATAATGAAATCAGATATCTCTACTTTAAAAAACACACAACTTAAATCCCAGTTTGAAAAAGGATATAGTAAATTTCAGTCATACTTTAAAATGCAGATTTTTAAGTTTCTCACAAAAATAGGAAAAAAATATTGAAATAAGAGTTTAAAAATATTAATTTTCCCTAAAATAATGATTATCAAGGATTCAATTAAAACAATGCTAAATATCATTTATTGAACATAATCTTTTATACCTATATATTGATAAAAATGATATCAATTTTAATAGTCTACATAGTTTGAGATCTACATGATTTCATATTCAAATTATTATGTAAATATATCATGTATAATGTGTATATGGCTATAAATATACGTATATGAAAAATAAGAAAAGCATTAATATTTTAGTTATACAGAACTGGCTATAAGCAAGTCCCAACTACTCAGAGCAAAAACATTTGCTTTGACCTACACCAATTGAGTATACCAAAACACCGCCACCATATTGTTATTTCAACTCAAATTGATCAGTGCATTTTTAATTGTGGGAGTCAGCACCTACAGAATAAAATTTGAAATTTTAAGTCCAGCTAAGCTCAAAGGGTTCACTGTGGGAGACTGTTCTGATACTTGGAAATTAACACTTGGGAATGTAAAGTGTAGATTATGTATATCTCTCCAGTTCATTTCTCCAGCCCATCTCTGAGAAAGGTTCTATTAAAGGATAAACGGGACTAAATTAAGCAAAAGGAGGAGGTGGCTGTGCATCTAAACATCAAAACTGAAAACACAATAGCTACTCCAATGAACACAGTAAATTTATGGATTATTTCAAAATAATTTTAGCTTAGCTTTGACTATATTTTGTAATTAAGCATTTTAATAAGTTTTGTTTTTGCTTTTGGCAAATATTATCTTCGATTTACCTATGGATAAGAGTTGGTACCAGTATGAGATAGTACAGAAAGATGGTAAGAGGTAGAGAGATGCAATCTTGCCATAGGTACCACTGCAAATAACTCAAAAAAATAGATGACCAACATTTACAGATAATAAAGAACTGACTGCATTTTAGTTTCAGAATCCATTATCCCCTGTGTCACAAAACTTTGCCTTCCTTATAATTCATTTCAAATGTTATATTTTCCCTTGACCAGAAACTGACACCAAATATAAAATATTTCAGTCTAAAACATTTTCTAAATTTCAGTGCCAATTAATTTCCATGTTTTTCTGAAGACCAAAGACTGTTATTCCTAAAATGTGTGGATTTCAGTGCCATTCAAATCTCTTGAATTATAAAATCTGCAGTCTTGGCTCCAGCAGTTTTGTTGAATAATATAAAGGGATCATATACAGTAGTGTTTAATCTCCCGTTTTGTACAATTTTGCATGTTTTGGTAACAATGTTAAGTATTCTTTTGGAGGAAAATCTGTGATTTTACAGCAATGTAAACATTGAATGTAGGACAGATTTAAATAATGTTTATCACACATTCGGATCAAGAATAAAGACTCTATCTATTCTCTAAAAACATGTTTCTTGAATAATGGGAGATATTTGGAATGAGAGGACTGGTTTATTTACCTGGGCATAATGTAGTACAGGTTATTTTCTGCACACTCTGTCCTTCACAGAAGGCACCCCCATTGAGTGGTGCCGGGTTGGTACAAGTCCTTGTACGTTTCTGATACCCTCGTCCACAGCGGCTATTACACACAGACCACTCTGTCCAGGTGGACCAGCCACCGTTAACTGAAAGGAGGCAAACAGTAGAAAATGGATTAAACGTGTGTGCACGCACGACACACATGGACACATAAAACAGACACAATATGTAACCAAAGTTATTTTTCAAGTGACCATTACAAAAATCCAAAATTTTACAGCCAGAAGAGACCACGGTTATCATTTTATCCAAAGTTTTATTGTACAGATGAAGAAAAAATATTATTTACCAACATTTACTTACCTACTCAGAAAAACAAATTGGACTGTGTTCTCTTTTCCTTGGCCAGTGTTCTTAAAAAATATACATATCTCCTTACCTAGTCAAGCTCCAAAACTACTTTTGACAGCTCATCTCAAATAATAAATGTTTACATCTCTATGACAAGCCTGCAAGTGAAGCTATAGCATGGGAACAGAATCAAATCATTTACCTTCTTTTTCAAAAAGAAAAACAACCAGATGATTGATTTTCTTAAGCATAGGTAAACTTTACAACCTTTTAAGGATTTTATTCGGTTGCACAAACCAGTGAACCTGGTTAAAAAATAAAATCTTATAGTATTGGAGTTGTAAACAAACTGAATGGCAATTTGAGTTACTTGGCAATTAGTTGATTTTGAAATAAACACATATTTTGTGTATGAAGGCCAATTGTCATGTATGATGAGCTGTCAGCATATGTGATTATAAAACCTATACCCTAACACTGCACACTATTCACTTCTGCAGGTCTCTTTAGAAAATACTTTGATGTGTACTTTTTTAATACTTCAATAATGTGAGTCTATGAAATTTTTATAATTAAACAACTTCTAACAAAAATTTGCTTGTAGTTAAAATATGATGCAACCAGTATATGCATCTACATCCTAATACTAAATAAGTGTATTAGTCATTCAAGTAACGCAAACCTTATATGTGCATATTATTTGCCCAACATTTTGTTTTCTAGAAACCTATCAAATAGGGAGTAATCATTAATATTTATAGACAGAAATGTATTTTTCACAGCAACTTTATTTTATATAAAGATTAATAATTGGAAACAACTATAATGTTGAAAAACAGGAAAATGGCAAAGCCAGCCTTATATGTTCATGTGATGGACTCCTGGACAGCCATTAAAAATGATACTGTAGAGGCTATTTCATAATACATGAGGCTGAGTGAAGTGGCACCCTCTTGTAACCCAAGCAGAGAGGGTTGCTGGAGCCCAGGAGTTCAAGATCAGTCTGGGGAACATAGCAACATCCTATCTCCACAAAAATTAAAAAATTAGCTGGTTAAGTTGGCGTATGTATATAGTCCCAGTTACTCAGGAGGCTGAGGCAGGAGGATCCTTTAAGCCCAGGAGTAGAGGCTGCAGTGAGCTATGATTACATCACTACACTCCAGCCTGGGCAACACAGTGAGATCCTGTCTCTAAATGGATACATTACACATAATTATATATGTATAATTTTTATGTAGTATGTATATAGTACTTAATATTTACATATTTTAATTATAATTATAAAAAATTACATATATATATATATATATATATATAAAACAATATATAGAAAATACTAGTATAGGCCAGGTACAGCGCCTCATGCCTATAATCTCAGTATTTTTGGATGCCAAGACGGGCAGATCACTTGAGTCCAGGAGTTTGAGACTCGTCTGGGCAATATAGTGAGACCTCATCTTTACAAAAAAAACAAAAATTAGCCAGGTGTGGTGGCACATGCCTGTAGTCGCAGGTACTTGGGAGGCTGAGGAGGGGATCATTTGAGCCCAGGAGACAGAGGTTGCAGGGAGCCAAGATTGTGCCACTGCACCCCAGCCTGAGCTACAGAGTGAAACCCTGTCTCAAAAAAAAGAATATACCAATAGTACACACATAATTTTTGTTTAATATTATCTCTGGGTGACAGGATTATAGGTATAGGTATTTCCTTCTTTGACCTTTTCTGTTTTCCAAATGTTCTCTAGTGGATGTATATTTGCAAGCTAAAAATTGCATTAACAAAAAATGTACAAAATACTCTCTAAATATGAAATACTGGTTAGATACATATGTTTTCTATGAATGTCTGGTGAGTCCAACCTATGAGGCTTGGACAAGTTATTTTAGGAGGTTATGCAAAGGACAAGCAGATGGTGGATAGGTAGGGTTTCAGTTAGTGTTCCAAAAAGCAACTTAACTTGCTCAAGTTTACAAAATTCCCTGTGATGGACTTGTCTGTATAAACTGTTAACTAGCATACTGGCAAGCTGATATTTGGGGTTTAGGATACATATACTGTTCTGCTAGGATTTTAATGAGAAATGATCAGGGATGAAAAAGTCTTTGAAGATCCTAGGTTTATTCTTTCACTTTACAAAGAACGAGGCAAGGGCTCAGAGAATCCTGGTTAAAAATCCCTCTGAAGATCAGTTAGTGACAGAAATACTCCCATGACCCAGGATTCCTGACCCTAGTTCAGAGATGTTTTCTCAGTTCTAACTACTAAGTTACTTGTGTTTGATCCTTCCTAAAGACAACACATTCATTGTATTTATGGATATTGAAAGCATAATATACATAGGGAGAGATCTGCATGTTCATTAAACATCTATCTAATACAACTATATACAGTCTGCCTTCATTAGTTATTTATGACTGGCACATACTGTGATTGTGCCCCATTTCTTTCTTGCATTTCAAATGTTAATCAAGTGTTTCAGGCAGCTTAAAATGAGACTAAAAAAGAAGAAAACATTTTATTATTTTATTGTGATTTAAGAAAGGCCATTGTGTACAATTCAACACAGCCATTATCTAGACTAGGAAATTAAACCTCTGAGGAATCAGAGGATCAAAAAATTTTATATATCTTTCTTGTAATTAAAATGACATTTTTAAAGCAGCACTACATTTTTTTGGAAGAGCATAGCGGTTTCTCTTCTCAAACACACATCCATCTTAATGGTACTGTGGGGTAGGCAAAATTTTACTTTCACTTTTTCAGGATGTTTTCAGCTGGGCCTAATAATTACATTGATGTAATACAAATCAACAGAAGAAAAACATGCAAATTTATTTCATAGAACTTTTACATGTCATAAGAAAATTAAGACCCAAAGATGCAGTCGAATGCTTATATACTGAACTGGACAAAGAGTAGTAAGTTGGGAAAATGTGACTAAATTATGTGGTAAGGCTAAAAGAAGATTGAGAGTTATTTTAATAAGATCGATACAGAATTCTCTGGATCTTAACTTTCCCTTGGTCTCAACTTCCTGTCCTTGATATGTTACTTTCCTTCTAGTATAGGGAAGGCATCTTTCATTTGAAAATCTCATCTCCTGCTTTTAAGAGTCAGAAGGATTACCAGAGTGATCTTGCACCTGCGTTTCTCAGGGACCTTTAATGTAGAAAATAGTCAACATACCAAGTGGCATATTTTGGGGTGCCATATTCTTAACCCCTTCAGTCATATCATGTACTTGCAACGTTTCAGTCAAGGACAGACTTCATATACAGCAATGGTTTGTTCCATAAGGTTACAATGGAGCTGAGAAATTCCTATCACCTAATAACCTCATAGCTGTTGTAACATTGTGTATTACTTTACTTTTTCTACAAATGTAGTATAGCCTATGTGTAGCATTTATAAAGTCTACAGCAGTGTAGAGTAATGTCCTAAACTTTCGTATTCACTCACCGCTTACTCATTGACTCACCCAGAGCAACCTCCAGGCCCACAAGCTCCATTCATGGTTAAGTGCCCTATACAGGTGTACTTTTTCTTTTGTATCTTTGATATCTTATTTTTATATTACCTTTTCTATGTTTAGATATACAAATACTTACCATTTTGTTACAATTCCCTATAGTATTCTGTATAGTAACATGGTATACGGGTTTGCAGCCTAGGAGTAACAGGCTATACCATCGATCCCAGGCATGCAGTAGACTATATCATCTTTGTGTGAATACATTCTACGATGTTCACACAATGATGAAATCATGTAATAATGCATTTCTCAGAATGTGTCCCCATCATTAAGTGACACACGACTGACTGTACCATGAGCCACATACTTGCTAGTGGCTGTCCCTCCTTCAGTCAATAAGACACCAAGGCCCATGGATTTTAACACTAAAACAGTGATGAAAATCTTTATTATGTTCTAGGAAGTGGTGAGGCATGAGCATATCATTCTGGAGGTAGCATAATCTCAAAATACTTCCCAGGTTGTTTGGTTTCCTTGGAGACAGTCAAGCATCAATATAAGGAACTATTCGATGTCTAACATTGTGAGAAATATGTAAATATACAGACCAATCTAGTCTACCAAAGAGTTTAACCTTAGCTGGGGAGATGAAGCTACTCATGAAATGACTAAAAAATAACTGAGTCCTAAATCATTTAGAGAAATAAAAGCATATTTGCCACATCAAAATGGGGCATGAAATTGCTTTGCACTTCCAGAGAATTGATAGGTTTAGAGATGAACTGGCTTAGAAAGGACCAGGGCATGAGAGGAAGCTTCCTAAGAAGTCGCTTTGTTGGACTTTACCATGTTGTTAGGATTAGGGCCACCTGGCTAGGTAAGGCAGTATCTTCACTCTGCACACTTCTGATGGAGTGAGCAGAATGAGTTGTAAGTAGCTAAAACTGTGCTGATGTATTTTGCAAATAGGTCAGCTCCTGCTTTCTAAGGGTTTGTAATGATACGACCAAGGCCAGATTCATAGAAACATCAGCAGGCTGAACAAGGCATATTCATCTTTAGAACTCAATCTAGATCTTGGTGGTGCAGGTTCTGGAGAGAAGAGGGCTTACAGAAGCAGCAGGCACTCAGGGAGGCTTCCTTTGCTTCCCGAGAAGCTGACTGACAAAGGGCTGAGAATGTCTGAGTCTGTCCTTTCATATGAGTAGCAGGGAAGCAATTAAACCTCACTGGCCCTGTGAAAAGCAGCAAGCAAGTAGTGATGGAGATTGAAAAGGGGCTTCTAGAACCCAGCATGGTGGTGCATGCCTGTACCAGCTACTGAGGGGAGGCTGAAGTGGGAGGATCCCTTGAGCTCAGGAGGTCAAGGTTACAGTGAGCTATGGTCATGCCATTGTACTCCAGCCTGGGTGACGGAGCAAGACTCTGTCTAAAATAAAATGAGATTTTTAAAAAGGGCTTCTGGCTTGAGTCAAGACACTGATGCCAATGAGAAACTGCAGTTAGACAGGAACTAGACTAAAACCCTGAAGGGTCACTCACCGTAGACTATGACAGTGGCAGTTGTGCTTTTCCTCTTGGCAACAATGTTTTTGGCAACACAGGTATAATTTGCAGTATCAGAGAGGCGGGCCTGCTTTATGATGAGGTTGTGATCAATAGTAATATAAAAATTCCGATCTTCAACAGGATCAATTATGTCTTCATTTTTCAACCATTCCACCTAAAGATACATGAGAAAAATAGATAAATCCCCAGCATGTATCCCTCGATGGCTGTCTGTCGTAACCCGTGTTTTGTAAAATGTACAATGTTGTTCCAGGCCGTGAACTTCTGCAAACTGGTGGGAAGTAACTTTCCAAGGTCATGTTAAGTATCACTCACCTGCCAAGCATGCTGGTTCTATCTGTACTACATTATTCTCAAATGTCAATGAACCAATTGGGAAATACAGTGTTCAGATTGTTTTTACTTTGCCCTGTAGGCACGAACGGGGAATGTGTGCTGCCAAGTTCAGAACCCAATCAAAAATAATAGGATAAGCATTTCAAACTGAACTCAAACCTTTTCTATTTGTTTACTCTTGGCAACTTACCTGCTGCTTTCTAGAAAAAAAATATAACGACTATTTTTAAAAGCACAAAAGCATTTTAGACATCACATAGCTGTAATAAAATAACATTTGGATGATTTATATGTAGCCTCACTGAAACATGTGGATTAAATATCCCTGAAAATGCACTGACTTCAAAATGTAGCAAAACACTTATTTGGAAAGGTATCTCGGTCAAAATATTTAAAAAATTTTTTCTACCAATTCTTAATACAATCTGAGTAGCTTATAAATCATACTCAAATCCTTCCTTTTGCAAAATGCTAACATTTAAATCTTTGGTTCACGGTGTGCTTTTTAGGAACCTGACCTTAAGACATGACCATTTAAAGCTGCTGAACTTTTTTTTCTATGTGAATAATATTAATGTAATAACAGTGATGTTATACTTGCTGAATGAAAAGAGGAAAACACAGGTGTATAAGCTGTTCTTCTGGAGGTAAACTATTTCTTATTCTGGCAGTTGCCTTATTTTTTTCTATGCACAGGTTTTTCCATAAAGCAAAACAACAAACAATGTTGATATTTACCACACTTAAACTCTCCTTTTGCATTAGGGTGAATGTGGATACAGGTAACCTTTAGTGGTAGGGAGTCAATATTTTTGCCATTTTCAAAACCTTAAGGAGCTTCTCGAGCACCAGAAGAGGTCTAGAAATTAATCTCTAAATCTGTCAGTGGGTTTGACATTGCACAACTCTAAATTACATTTAAGGCAGGGACTCTCAAATAATGCTCCTCTAATCCTTAGAAGAGAAGCCAACATTTATAGAGAAAAATAAAAATCAACAACAATCCTGAAATACAGAAATGTATGAGGTTGTAGACAAACTATTTGTAATGATGTAAATGTTTGAAACTCTAAACATTCTTGATATTTACACTTAGGTTAGTGAGAAAAAGAATAGAATCCATTTAAAACAGTGGGTATTTTAAATATGTATTTTGTTTTAAAATACAGACTGCACATTCAGTCATAGCTATGCCTAGGTATCTCTCAGGTGTATACTCATATTCACTTGACCAGGATTTTCTCAATGCTTCACCCTATGTGTGGAAATAAGATCCTGCTGGAAGTGCATGGGAGAAGGTGGCATAATTTATCACTGCTAAAAATCTCTTGGAGAGATAATTACAAGATGAAGGCAATATTTTTGAGTGGAATCTTTACCTAGGTTATCTATGCCTTTCTAAAGAAAACCTTCTATCACGCAAGGCACTGATGGGCTCCCTTTCCGTCAGTTGTTCTTGCAGCCCTTTTGCAATTTCTGTGCTCAGTGAGCTTCTCTTTCAAGTACCCATACCTGCCCCTCTTCTCTGAAGAACAGCCCTCAGACTCATGGATTGTCTTGCCTGAAAGTGCCTAGGAGTTTCTACAACTTCCCCATTAGCCATTGACTAGTGGGTGCAGAAATATGGCTTCTGTCCCACTGGGTCGGAATCTGAGCTGTAACTTTCCAGAAGTCCCTTGCAGGGATGAGGCTGAAGCTACATCCTTGAGACTGTACCTGAACTGACATGAATTGACACTATTATAAATGGAGCATACCTAATCAAAAAATCTGGAATCTGAAATGCTCCAAAGTCCGAAACATTTTGAGCACAAACGTGACGCCACAAGTAGAAAATCCCACACATGACCTCGTGGCTGGTTGCAGTCAAAACGTAGGTGCAAAACGCACAGTTTATTCAGCATCCCCAAGGGAAGACCGTGACACCAAACAACCACAGACTGTCCACAAGTGGCTCACGTAGTGACCCCTTTGCTTTCTGATGGTTTAGTGTGAACAAACTTTGTTTCAGGCAAAAATTATTTAAAATATTGTATGAAATTCCCTCCCGGCTATGTGCATAAGATGCATATAAAATGAATGAATTTCGTGTTTGAACTTGGATCCTATTCCCAATATATCTCATTATGTATATGCAAATATTCCAGAACCCGAGTCCATACAATTCTGGTCTTGAGCATTCTGTAGAAGGGTCACTCAACCTGTACTAGGTTTCTCTCTCCTGCTTGCTCGCCCACTTTACAGGGTTCTCTTGGAAGTACTTTCTTAAAAACCTACTCACATTCATACCTTTGGTTCATTGAGAACCTTTGCTTCTGGAGAACACATAGCTATTCAAAACTATGGTTTCTCCTATGTAAATGATGTCAGTTTAACAGGGACGTTCTCCTAATCATAAATGACATAAGGAAATCCCAAGGGATATTTCAAACCACTTGTTTGTATGAAGAGTTTATTACACAGAAAGAAGTGCTCAATCTGCATGGTTAACAAAAGATTTGAAGAGACATTATTGTTGGATACATGATCTTTACTCGATTATAGATAATGACCCATTTGCCTTGGGTGTCTCCAGCCTATGTTGGAGAGTGGTTCTGACCTGAACCTCAGGACCCCTGAGAAGCCCCAGGAGTGTTGATAGGCCCCTGTGGGGGGCACTGCTCTCCTCCCCTAACTACCACTTGAATCACAGAAACTCTGCTTTTATGCGTTTTCCACACCAGATTTGCTTTCACACCTTTGTTTTGAGAAATAAAGGGTTCTACAGCCAGAAAATAGCTGAGGGAGTGAAGAGGGGGGCCCAGGACTCCTCCAGCTTCTGACAAGATCCCCCACCAGTCCCTTACACCCCAGGGCTGCCAGCCATATCACAACACTCTGCTCTGAGACAGTCATCTCTATGAGAGGCTGAGTCCGGACTGCAGGCCATCCCTCACCTCCTGTGCTGTAATCCCAGGGGCTGCACGCCACCAGCTCCAAAAGTCCTGACCCTCTTCCATGCCGCCTGGAATACAGCATGAAAATCTTCTAAAATTTCAGTCTCTTTTTAGATTGTTTCCTTCACATTCTTCTCATACTAAAGTCTAGATCTTTCTGATGCCATCGTTTCTTCTGGAGTCTTCTGAAGGGGCGGATATTCCATTTCCCAAATCCAACATGCCACTGGGTCTGGGGTGGGTAAGTGTTGTCCGGGCTCAGTATTGTCTCTTTCAGTCTGTTTGTTCTCTCTAAACATCTTTGCCTTGAATATTATGCCATCAGATTATATCACCCAATTTTGAAGTTTTTGTAGTTATTTACAGACCTCTGGATTAACAGTCACTTTATCTAAAGCATAATTTGTGAAGAGTTTAATAACCACAAAGATGACACTTCTAACATCTTGGTTTTTCAATTTCATGACCCTCCATCCTGCAATGATCTTATCCTCCAAGGTCACACATTCTAGGCCAGAGGTCATATTAATTCTAAATTCAGAGAAGCTAAATCCAATCCACAAAAACTCCAATTCATCGGTCTATCATCAGAGTGTTTTAAGCTCCCTAATGGTTGTAATTTACTGTGAGGGTTGAGAAATATCAGTCTAGATCGTTACCCTTAAAAATGCAAAACCTGGATCAATAGAATCAGCATCACTGGGAGCTTGGTAGACATACAGAATCTGATAGACATACAGAATCTAAGGCTCTGCCAACCTATTACCAAATCAAAATACACATCCTAATAAGAACTTCAGAGGATTCATATGCACACTAAAGTTTGAGAAGCATAATTTAGCTCTTGTCCTTATCATTAATTACAACTCTTCCATAAACTTAGTTTCAATTATCCTTTCCTTTACCCTTTTCTGTATTTCCTGTTCATTCTCTCCAAGATACTGAATTCAACAATCCCTCACCAGCACCCACCATCTATTGAATTTACCAATTTGTTTCTTAGATTTTCAAGTATAAATTCCAATGTCTAACTATATCTGATTCTTGCATTATACCATCAATGCTCTCATCCCTTTCTCACTTCAAGATACTCACTTGGCCACTATTTGCCCACACTCCTGTTTTTTTTTTTTTTTAATTTTTAAATTCTTTTTATTTTTTGAGACAGAATCTCACTCTGCTGCCCAGGCTGGAGTGCAGTGGTGCAATCATGGCTCACTGCAGCCTTCACCTCTGGGGTTCAAGCAATTCTTGTGCCTCAGCCTCCCAAGTAGCTGAGATTACAGGTGCCCACCACCACACCCAGCTAATTTGTGTATTTTTAGTAAAGACAGGGTTTCACCATGTTAGCCAGGCTGGTTTTGAACTCCTGACCTCAAGTGATCTGCCCACTGCAGCCTCCCAAAGTGCTGGGATTACAGGCGTGAGCCACCGTGCCCAGTCCTCTGTGTTCTAGAGGTGGAACATGGTGTGCACAGCCATGGAAAGTGGGTTCATCTTAAATTTCATGATAACAAATCATAAGTGGGACTTTATCTCTGCCAAGAAGGCATGCTATATTTTCATTGTTCACTCTCCCCCTCTCCTAGATAACCATTTCACACTTTCTCCTCTCGACTACCTCCCCATCAAGCCTCACTTTTAGCTGATGACCAAGATTTCCATGTCACTAAGAAACCTGACAGTCACAAGAGATCTTCCAGTGCTCCCATTGTCTGTGTGCCCAACCCCATCTGCACCCTCTGTCTTATCACTGGGGGAGCCCTCTGTGTTCCTGTCTGTCACCTCAGATTTGTACTCTGTATCTTACTCTCGCTCTTCAAGGGCAAGTCTCAGGAATTCTCTTCTCTCTCTCCTAAATTATTCAATTTCCCTTGATGCT